ATAACCCGAGGTACCACTGTAGTTGCAAATGCTAGTGTGTGATAATTTATTTTACAGAGTCTCTGAATTAGAATTTAGGCTTGAGAGTTGAGTTTATACAGCATATTGTAATAGCATATCTCTTTCAGTTGGTCTCATTTCCCCAGATTGGTGTATAAAAATACACAATGCATGTATATCCACGAGTTATGACAAGCAAATTATTATTTAGGGGAAAGTGAGAAAAACCAGCTTTTTCTATTTTAAGTTTCTAAAGTAGCCAGAAAATTAGCAGCAGAAACAACACCTGAACTGTTTTGTTTTATTTTATCAACTTTTACTTTCTTTTCATCTGGTAGAATAAAGTTAACTTTATTTCCCAGTTATTTTATAAGTGTAGAACTCTCATCATTATTATCAATTTCATGCTTTAGGTTCAGTATTTATTCATTATCAATGTGTGGCTCTAGGAAGATGTAGAGTTAGGAAAATACACTTTTTTATTTCTGAACATGTATATAGTTCACTCAGAATGCTTATTTTACCCATGTTCTCTAGATGTTTTAATTTGTTAATATATGCTTTAACCCTCACACATATACACATGGATAGAAACTTCTTTTTTAGTTACTGTGGCTTTGGTAACCAAATGTAAAGCAGGCTTAAATAATTCAGCAAAATGACCTGATCATGGGCTTTTAAAATGCCAGCTCCACTGAATGATGCAGTTATTCTAATTGGAATGATCACATTTGAAACAGAACAGAACACTATCTTTTGTAACATAGGAGATAAAGTCACCTTACTAAGTGCCTTTATAGAGTCAGTTTATATGTGTGTATTTCCTGAAAATTATCTAAGGGCCATAAAGTAATTCATGGCTTTCAAAATACTAAAGAGTAATTTGGGGACTTTTCAAAAGCATCTTAAAGTCTGTGTGCTCCCTTCTATCAAAGTGGTTACTCTTAAAAATAATTTCCCTTTACTTCAAGAGAAACCTTTCACCAATATGCTGAATAAGTAACGCCAGCTGTGCAGTGATGCATTTTTGAAAGGATAAAAGTGATTTAAAGCCTGTGTAGGCATGTACGTCACACCTGTCAGCTGCCCCTTAAGGAAGCTACATTTTTTTTCCTGGGCTTGTAATCACAGAAAAGCATGTTTGATTTAAGGAGGTCCTGACAAGTGTGACAAACATGTCCACAAACACTGAAAATAATTCCCCTTTGAATCCAGATTGCTGCACAGTTGTAGATATCTTTTCTGTATGAGCCATTATTGTGGTCAATAAGAGATTTAATCTGTGAATTAAGAACAAGTTCTTTGTCATTAAAACAGTCGCAGAGTTAATAGAATAAACCCAACAAGGTATGTAGATCTTTGTCCAATGGACATAGACAGAGATTATCATGTAAGTATTGCTGCTTTATATATAGTGTTTTTCCATTAATTTCATCTTATTCAGAAGTATGTTCCATGGGATCACACCTAGAATGGAATCTGGGCATGTGGGTAGAATGCAAGAAATCTTTAATATTTATCACATGCTGTGGCCCCAGTCCAGATTAAGCTGTATGCAACTACAATTTACATTGCCAGAAGGACAACCATTTGTTAATATTCATGGATCTGGTTTGGGGAAATGCAAGTTTCAGGCATGCTAAAATGTTGATGATGATTCAGTTGGGACAAAGGATAGAAGACTCCTATGTTTGTGCAGGAACCCAGGCTGAATGCAAATACCTTGTGTGACTACACTTGGAACGTTATATCTACACCCAATTCTGCTACGCCCATCCTATAAACTTCAGCATTCTCATTTTTCTTATAAAAACTCATTCCATCTTTCAAGAGTGGGAAAAGTTGCCAGCTAATGTGCTAATTGTGACAGTTATATATTTATATGGGGAATATGTTTTTTTGGCATTAGGTGAACTAATATCTTTTTCATTCTCAGTGAATGTACGTAAGTGTTACAAGCTTAGAGAATGTCAGGATTCTTTCTTTGGCAACTGGATTTTAATAAAAATAAATAAAAGTCCTTCATGTCCAGATTTGGTACTGATAAACAGGGGCACTAAGTTTAGATCTGAAATTTTGTTTAGAATGATGGTTTATGACCAAGATGATTGAGTTTTCAAGAAAGAGAGTAGTATTACAATGTGAATTAAACTATGTACAGGTAGTCCCCAATTTAAGAACGAGTTCCATTCCCAAGGTCTGTCCTTAAGTCAAATTTGTATGTAAGCCCAGCTTGAGGCTTTTTGTGCATTTTAGATTCATAATCAAATTATTATTTTCCCAATCTCCATTTTTCAGTATCTCTCTGTTATAATTATTAGAAATAGCATGCTTGTCCACACGTTAAAGAGTAGATATAGCTATCAAGCTGTTTCCCTCTAGTGTAATGTATTTGCCTGCGTGTATGTATGTATTTAAAATTTTTGTAAATAAAAGAAAAAAAAAATTGTAAGCCACAACAGTATACAGTAATACTGTATAAGTAGTATTGTGTAATTAACTTGAATCATTGTGTATTTGACTTGAATCATTGTGTATTTGACTTGAATCACTGTGTATTTAACTTGAATGTTGCTACAGTAGGCTCCGTTCTTAACTATGGGTCATCTGTAAACCAGGCATTCTTAACCCAGGGACTACCTATACTCATATCTGTGAGAGGAGGGGAAACAAATTATGCCCACTCAAATCAGTCCTCAGTCTATATGCATTCATAATTATTTACAAGCAGAGACTACTTATTGGTGAAATTATGGATTTGTAGGGTTCTCTTGACTATTCTGGCAGAGCCTGTTTGAAAAGAGCAGCTTACCCAACTTGGTGTTTTCAGATTTGTTAAAACTGCAACTCTCAGAATATATAATCAGCATGAGCAACAACTGGAGGTTTTAGAAACTAAAGTCCCAATACATGTGATTTCCAGATTGAGAAATACTGGCGCAGAATTTGTATGGATGCAAGTTCAGTTCAGAATTTATGCTGAAAGTTAATGAAGTCTCTGCAATTCCATTCTTATACCGGGTTCCTGAATAGGACTACAAAACTATTTCATGTGTGATTATTTAAAAGTTATGATTTATCAAAGGAATTATTTCTACACAAATGGTTTCTTGAAAATAAAACAGTATTTATTCCCAT